ATAAGCTTGTTAAATACTGATGAGCCCAACGGTAAGCTACAGGACAGAAAAAACTTGAAAAACAGCTGGGGAATATATATGTGACATATATATATTAATATGTATTTATATATAAATAAATTTTATATTAATAAATTTCACATACAAATAATATATTTATTTATTAATATAATATTTATATTATTTGTGTATGTATTATATATATTTGAAATATCTTATAGAGGTTCAGGATTTCCACATTTTTATGACATTAATGCTTCGCATTCTTAGTCTGACAATAATACTTTCTCTAAGCCAAATTTGCTCATCATAAAAAATAACCAAAAAAACACAAAAGCTGCAGAGAGCCTTTTATAATGTAGAGGAAATAATCTTGTGATGGAGAAAGTGAGAGCTGCAAGTGCCAATCTCAGGAGGCTGCGGCCTGTTGGGGACCTAAGGAGGCTGTGCTGCGGTGGTTTTTCCCAGTGTGGGGCCCCCTCTTGAAGCTGCTTATGATAACTAGACTGAACAGATGTAGCCTCTTCAGGTTATTTGGAACATGCCAGCCTGATGCTTGCTTTCTTGTCTTTGGTCACTGTACTTGATGTCTGGTCTTTTGACTTGCAATTTTGCCCAGAAGACTTTTCGAGAGTGAGTGAAGGAGCATCTATAATTCCAGGTTGATAATCATCATAATCACAGAGGACATTAGTATTTAATTATGCTGAGCTCTCAAAAAGTCACAAGTCCCTCTTCTCTGTGAATTTGCAGCCACATATAAGAAAATAACGGAGAGTCACATACAGAGCATCACTGATAAAGAAGCATTAAGTCAAATAAGAATAAAAGCTAACACATTTCCATAAAATACTGCTCATGAGGGTATGTTTTAAGGACAAAAGGCAAGGGTGTGTACAGAATTCTGGGTGGTGGTGGTTGGGGAGGGGAATGTTAGCTTTTCTTAATTCAGACGGAAAGCTTATGGAAAAGACAAGATGTCAGGTGTGGATAAGTGGATGAGAGATTATTTGACCCCTAAGAGATGATGGAAATTTCAGTCATCCAGCTACTTTATGAAACAAACGAATCACAGGACATTATCTTTGCTTAAGAAAAGCTGCTGCATGTCCTATGTATATGTGTCCCTCATAGCAAGTAAATGTACTAAGTAAATGCCTTTAGCTTGTTCAATAGGACTTTTAAAAGGCCGAGGGGATGTGGTGTTGATGAAAGCACTAACTTTGCACAAACAGGAGGGGTAAGGTGCAGAGGAAAGGGAGAGAATTGGGAGGATTTTTCTGTGAAGGCTGGAATTCTTGGCATGTATAATAAAATGGGCTTGTCATATTGCAGGTAGAATCTAGAAGTCTGATACAATTTTTCTCTTTTAGGTTGCATGAGAGAACAGTCAATGTTGGTTAAGAAAGAAATCTGGCAAGAAATGGGGAGGTGAATCCTTGTTTTGATGAAGTTGGCAAATGCCCCTGAGTGATTAAATATGGGGCTTAATGTTATTACAAAAGTTGTGCAAACTTTTCTAGAAAGAGTACTATGAATATTTTTCTTCAGTGATGATTTTATTGTTTGGCACATTTGAGTACCTCAGAGATTTATTCCACATTTGTAAAGGAAGTATGACATGGCAAATCCGTGAGATATGATTCTTTTATTGCTTGTAACAAGGGAGAAAAACACACTTAAATGTTTCAAATATGCCAAAACAAACTCCTTACTAAAGAAGTATGTTTGTTTTAAATAGTAGCATAGTTCATACAAAAATCTATAAAATAAACAAAATAAATTTGAGCCCAGTATAAGCAAATATGACTTAAATTAATGATTTAATTATACATCCGATCTAAGTAATTCATGATGAAACTTTCATATTTTGATAAATAATCAGTTATTCAGTCCTATCTTTATTCAAATAAACTGAAGCAGAAACACATGGTTTAGATATTGATTATTCTGTTTATTTTCAAATGCTATAGACTTAAAAATATCTTATTGTATTGTGCTGTGTGTATATATTTTTAAGTTAGAAACAAATTTAAGAGAACATTAGATTTTGAATCAGAATGATCTAAGATTTTAGCAAGCATAATAAAATAAAATAATTTATTCCAGAGCTCCTAAGAACTTTCAAATGTGACCCTGAAATAAATAAGTACGGCTATTTTTATAAATTCCCACAAATCAGAAAACTCCTCCCCAAATATGCCAGGCTTAATTTTCTGCTCTGTGGAGCACAGCTAGTAGGCTAGCAAAGCCCAGTGACATTTTCCACAGTGTGAGTTGCCAACCATTAGAAGCCTGTGGCAGTGTTTAAATTTACAGCAAACAAGCTAACAATTGGTTGAAGAAAGGATTATGTAATCCGTCTTTCATATTCCTTCCTGTGGTGTTCACATCACTATTGGAAAGACTCCTAAAGACAGAACCGGTGACTGTCTGCTAACGCAGCGTCTCCGTACAGCTGAGCCGATACAGTCTTTACTCTTTTCTGCAGGTTATTTTGGTTATCGCCTCCATCTCTTGCTAAACTCCTAAAGAAATGGATCATATTTGAGTGTGCTCACTTCAGTGTGTTAGGGCTGCGATTTCAGAGGTCATCATTTCTGCAGAGTGGCCTATATTAATTCCAGAGTCTCCTGGAGAGCATTAATTAGTAAGATAATTACACGGTGCTACCTGGGTTCTAACACTTCAGTAATTAGATCCAACCTACAAATGGAAACATTGGTGATGGCAGTAGGAAGTGTTAAATTCAGACACACTGAGAAGCTTTATTTATTCTATGAATACAGTAGAACAAAAATCAAAAGAGGACTTCTATATAATGGACAAAGTAATGTGAATGCTAAGAAACTTTATTTAAGTCCTAGGGAAAATATGATTATCCAAATGGTCCAACTGCAGATCTTCATTTTCCCCCCTGGATCTGTAAGCGACATTACGTGTACGCACAATAATATCTCATTTACCTGGTGATGGTGTTGAACAGAAGGGTGATAAATACATTTTCTATATAATTAGAACATAATCTAACTGCCAGATTTAATTTATTTTATTATTTTGCTTTTCAGAATTGAATGTATATATATATTTCCCAGCATTTTCCTAACAAAATATGTTGATCATAATTGAACCTTTTTTTTTTTTTTTTTTTGCCTTCAGGCTGTTACCTTACAGAATTTAGGAAAACAGTATTTTTATAACTAGGCATGTTCAGGGCCCTGTGGGTAGTGTAACGGCTGACAGAGATGCTGACCATCTCATATTCTATTGGTAGAAATCAGTACTTGTGCAACTAGTGCTCACGTTTCATAGGTTGACTTTTATAGGCAGGAGGGAGGAAGGACTAACAAAGAGCAGATTATTTCAGGCAAGGTCGCTTCCCTTTAGCCTAAGACCTCACTAGCTGACCAGGAAATTCCCGGCTGACTGGTTCAGACTACACTCCTGGGAGGGCCTTCAGGCATCAGGTCTCAGCTTGGTGACTTGGGCTTCACCAAGTGACTCCATTTGGGGCTGTTGTCTCTTTTTTAACATAAATCACAATATCACAGGACAGACCTAAACATGCTCAAACTGTATGCTGTATGAGTCCATTTATATAAATATAAATAAGCAAAACTAATCTATGGTGTTGTGACAATACTGTTTACTGTAGTGGGTGGAGAGTGGAGAATGGAAAGGGCATAATTAGTAATGTTCTGTTTCTTGGTCTGGGTACTGGTTTCAAGGGTATGTTTAATTTAAAATATTCAGTATAATGAGCATTTATGATTGTGAATTTTTTGGATGTATGTTATACTACAATTAAATTTACATAAAGAGAAAAAGAAAAAAGAGGGAGGGAGGGAAGAAGGAAGGGAGAGAATGAGTAGGGAAGGAAGGAGGGAAAAGAAATAGAAATAATGAACTATAATGGAAAAATGAAATCTCATTAAAAAGAATTTTTATAATTCATTGGTATAATTTTAAAGAGGAATATACCTTATGAAAAAAACTAACATTTTTATTAAGAGATATAAAATAGACCCAAGAAGTTGAATAGACATATTGTGTTCTTGGAAACGAATAACAAATTTTATAATGATGTATCTTCTTCCCAAATCCATGTTTGATATACTTTCCAATCAAACTTCTTTGGGATATTTTGGGAAATTGACAAAAATATTATGAAATTCAGAAAAATAAATGTGTAAGCATAATGATGCAAATACATTTTTTAAACAGTAGGAATAATCTATAAGTTAAATATCCTATTAGATATTTAATGTAATTTAAATCAGCAATAATTAAGAGTGTTACAGTAGCAAAAGAATAAATAAAATATTAGAACAAAATAGTAACTTGAAATTTGAAATACAACAAATATATTCAAGAATGGACATATGATAAATATATTTAAGAATTTAATACATGACAAAAGGTACTGTGTCACAAACTGCCAGTTTGGAAGAAAAGCTTATTTCTCCTTAGCTTCACACAGTGCATTAATGTATTTACATGGTTTAAATAGTTATATTGAAAAGCAGTGTCTTAGCTCTGGCTTCTCTAACAAAATGCCATAGTATGGGTGACTTAAAAACCAAGATATTTATTTTCCACAGTTCTGGAGGTTGGTAAGTCCAAGATCAAGGTGCCAGCATATTTAGTTCTTGGTGAGGGCCCTCTTTCTGGCTTGCAGATAGGTTCCTTCCTGGTGGGTCCTGAGGGCAATCTCTGTTCTCTCCTCTTCTTATAAGGGCACTGATCCCATCACGATTGCTTCACCCATGACTTCATCTAAACCTAATTACCTCCCAAAGGCCCCATTTCTAATTACCTAAATATTGGGGATTGGGGTTTTAACATATGAACAGGGGGACACAATTCATTCCATAACAAGCATGGCTGAGCAATGACATTAAGCTTGGTGATCTGACCAAGAGCCTACGCTCTTGATGACTTGACTAGGCTGCCTCTGAATTATGAGTTCAAGGAGAAGAGTAAGGTGCTATTTGTGTAGTTTAGCATGTATAGATACTAATGAAAGGTAATGAGGAAGCTCTGTTAACAGATTTTCATTCAAAGCTTTTTTGTCCTTTCTGTATTTCAGCACATGCGAATGGTGCTCTGGAGAGCCTTCTGTGATTACAACTCACACCTTTTCCTGGGACACTTTCTTGAAAGAATCAGCAGACATCCAATTTACCCAGATATAATTCCAGATTAACGGAGTTTTTGCAGAGCTGATTACACTTGACTCACTGAGACTGGGTAAGAGTTTAAAAATACATTTACTGTTTTGGGGGTAATATTTGATATCCTGCTGTTTGAAATATTTCTGTCTTGTTATAAATTGGAAAGTTATATTAACTAAGTAGACACATGGTGGAGAGAAAATTGGTTGCCAGAAAAAGGTACGTTGATTAATATGTTTACCATGAGTTAAGCATATGCTGGTGTATTTAAAGATATTTTTATTTTTATTACTTATGTATAGTATAGGGAGTTCACATTTAGTGCAAGGGGAACTTATTGACAAACATTCTTCTTTTAAAATATAACTGCAAACAGTTTTATGAAACCTGTAATTACTATAGTCTATGTTGTTTCTACAGCTATAAAATCAATAACTGTAAAATGGGAAGGCTATTTCCTTGAAATTGGTGATGATGATGTTTATGCAAATCTTTCCCTAACTGTGAGCTTTCCTTACCTGTCGTTCTAGTGCATACAATCTTACTTCTGCATATCTTTTCCTCAATGTCAACATTTTCTGTTGACATATTAAATTGCCAGTCACTTCAGTCAAGGTTAATTAACAAAACAGAGACTTGGGACTGGGGAAAGACAGTAACAGTGAATGAGATGGAAGAAAAGTAGTAGTTACTGCAGGGAAAACATGGGGGAGATGGAAAGGATTAGCAAAGGCGACTTCCTCAAGCATACAAGTTGTTCTGCATCTCAAATACGTGAGATTTGAGATGAGTCAGTGTCTCTTAGAAATAAATATGAACTAGACCTCTTGGAATGCATATTTGCCTACTTTTCAAGTATTTTATACACAATGTAAGGAAGGGATATCCTAAAAGTTTCTAGTGTGCCTAGCCTGGTAAATGGAAACAGGAAAGTTGAAGGTCCATGAATGGCCCTGGTTACAGCAGGATGGCTGAGAACATGGGCTTTGAGAACAAATCAGTTTCTCTAGCTTGAACCCTTACTCCGCCACATTTTGGTCATGACTTCTGGGGTAGTTGTGAAAATTAAATGAGCTAATTTACAAAGAGTGCTTAGTATTGGACTTGGGACACAATCACTAAGTGTTCAATAAATGGTTGGTATTATGTTAAATGATTGTACAGACATTTTTAAGGGCTGTTGTAACTTCGCCAGTCTTTGACTTTAGTACAGTTTTCTCTATTAGGGCTTTAATTTTTCCTCTGTCAACTCTCTTGCTATGTTGAATTTTCCTTATTCTCACCTAGCCAATTATAGTTGAGAAGATATTACTATGTTTTTCAAGATTAAATTTTATATTTTCAAATCTGGCATGTATTAATTTCTGGAGGGCATTGATATTTTAAATTTTATGACCTCAGACCTGCCATTTTGCAGCATCTTAATATTGGGTAAATTATGTGACTTTTCAAAATTTTCTCATCTTTGAAGTGGGAAAAATAGGATAGCCATCTATGAGATTTTTGGTAAAAATTGAATAATATAAGATGCAGTGCATGACATAGAAGTGCCCAATACATGTGAGCTATTACTAATATTACTACTCTTATTGTAAATATTCTTCTTAAACAGATTCTTACCTACCTCTGGTTTGATTGCTGATGCTATCAGTCTTTAATTTGTAGAACTTGAAGCAGGATGTTCTACAGAATTTTTAAAAATAGAATAGTAATATGTGCAAAATCTTAGGTCACTTTAACTTTTGAAAACCTTGCTCATCATAATTATTTTATACTCTCAAAGTACAGTATCTTTAGTTTAAACACAAATATAATTTCATGATTTTACTAAATTATCTCCAAGGACAACTGCTTTTAAAACTCCCTAAACTTGATTCTTTCCAGAGGACATTATATAACTGGAATTTTAAATTGCTTCACATTTTGATGATTCTTAGTATCAAAGTTTGGCTGTTTCACCCTTAATTTTTCACCTTTAAAAATGTTGACCCCCACCTATTGAGTCTATAAAGTTATAAAATAAATACTAGGTAATCAGGATAACATCACTCTCTGCTACCTACTTTGTCTAATCTTTTTAATTTTGTACTCAGTCCTATATCGGTGGTTCTGAATGCTTAGAATTTGGTTCCATAATTCAATATTAATGCCTGACTCTGATTCAGATTATATTCATAGTAGCAGTACAGTACTGGCTTTGAAATAACCAGTGAATTTTGGGAAACTGATAATTTTGGCCCTATTTCTCATATTAAGACCTGATATTGACCATACAAAGCTTTGCACCAGGGTTATTGATAATGTTTTCTATTAATTATTGTAATAATAAAATCAAAACTTCTTTTTAGGTCTTTCTCTCTTTGATTTTTTCCATTTTTTGGTTTATTTCTAAAATGTTTTTAAATAAGTTCATTGTATGAGTAAGCAGGAATAGGAGTATATCAGATATTTCAATATGCACCTAAAGATTTATGACATATGTAGAATTAACCAATGAAGTAAACCTTCAATAGAGCCAGTTTACTTTTTTATGTAATCTGGGCCTAACCCATATTTTTTACAAGAACAGTATAATGATTTCACTGAAGCTTTTACAAATAAGTATACCTTCAGGTCATTCAGAGTGGGTAATGAGGTAACATTAGACATTTGAACGAATTTTATAATTTTTTTATCTGCCACATACAGTATCTGGATAAATAAAAGTACTTATGCAATGGTATATAAAAGTTAGAAACTTTTTATTGGAAAAAAAGGGAAATTTTAAAACCATTTTGTTTTTGTGGTATAAAGTATTTTTTTTCCTGTTTTTGAAATGTAAAATCTTTGACATAGTTTATCTAAACACTTAATGCATTTTTCTATTTGTGTTCTTTCACATAATCTTTTATAGTTCCAAAATAGAAATAAGAAATCCAAAAAATCTTATGCCTACCATTAGAATCCAAACGGGAGTCAGAAGTCCAGCTGATGGGGACAAAATAGTCTTTTAAAACACTACACATTACTGATTTCTTTTATAATATAAGGTACAGTTAGTTAAGTGTTAAAGAGCCTTGACGTTGGATTCAGAAAAAACTGAATTTTGACTCTACCCCTATAAATTACTAAGTCATTTACCTTATTAAATCAGGACCAAGTTTTTATCTACACCTGAAAACTATTTGCTGATGTCAAGAAATACAGTTCAGACATGCAAACTGATACCTTTATAAATTATCTTTCCTGATCATGTGTAATAATGAGCTCATTCCAGTTTTCAATTTATATTATAGGATATAGATAATTTTAATTGACTCCAGTGAAATTATAGTCTATAATCCCTTGCTTAAAATTTCTTGACAACAATGACAAGAAGCTAAATCTTCAAGACTCAACAATCTAACATGGATTTAATATTTAACAAAAATAAAATATTGAATGTCAATGTTTGTCATTTACTCTGAATGTACATGTTCTGTCAGTGAAAGAAGCACAAATGATTGCTGGCTAAGTGAAAGGGAGCATGTTTTGACATAATAAATTATAGTGAGTAGGATGTCAAGTCCACTGAAAATGCCTAACTTTGGAATTCTTTAAATTAAAAGATTTTAAAACTTTTACATGTATACTCTTAAAACTCTTATAACAAAAGTTTCCATGTTATACCACCAGTATATGCCATTTTTATAGAGCCTTGAAGTTTAAAATCACACTTTCACAAACATTATCTCATTTAATTCACACAAGAAATGAGTGAAGACTTTTTTGTTTTTGTTTTTGTATTTTTATTCTCAGGAAACATAAACCAAATCTCAAGAGTCCAAGAAAGTGAGTGGCCTTAAATCACCACCTGGTCAGCACTTTTCTGGATACTGGAGATACATTAATAAGTGAAACTAACAAAAAATTATTACCTTTATGGCTAGTAAAAGTGCACCAGATCAAACTTTTAAATCCTTTATAGAATAAAAATATAACTTTTTTCAAGAAATTACTGATGATCAGAATTTAAAAAGGGATCACCTTAACAATGGAAAATAAATATAAAGTTTCACAAAATATTCAAAGTTCTATGAATTCAGACTGATGGGAATTTTTTAGTGTTAAGATTAGATCTCTGTTCAATATTATATTAAAAAATTCAGCAGACAGATAAAAACATTGTTTTATTTCACAGTTTTCAACTCTTAAAATATGGTAGTCTTTCAGATACCACTAATAATTTATAAACCTACCCAGAAGTAAAGGAAAATGTTGAGACAATAGGGGGGAAAAAGAGGACTGGTGGCAAAGGATATTATGAAAAGAATGCTGTGAAATGCAGCATCTAAATAGATTTTCAGTTTAGCTCTAAAAGCATAACCAGCCCTGGCCAGTTTGCTCAGTGGTCAGAGCACCAGCCCTCAGACTGCCGGGACCTGGGTTTGATTCCAGCCCAGGGCATGTACCTCAGTTGCAGGCTCCATCCCCAGCCCTGGTCGGGGCACATGCAGGAGGCAGCCAATTGATGTGTCTCTCTTACTCCGATGTTTCTCTCTCTCTCTTTCTCTCTTCCTTCCACTCTCTCTGAAAAGCAGTGGAAAAAACTATCCTCACATTTTATGAGGATTAAAAAACAAACAAACAAACAAAGATGGCTCCAATAGCAAAACAGAGTAGCAAATTGACTCAAATATTTGGTGCTGGCAATAATGCTCCTTGATGTTGATAGGAAGATTATCACTTTACTTACATATTTATTTTTTTTGGTTTGGAGTGTTGATGGCACTCTTTATTAGTCATAATTGACAATAAGCTCCTCACATACACCTCTCAAGTGTTCATATAAAATAATCATTGACAGCCCTTTACATATAAGCAAAGAGATTAGAGGTCATAGGATAATTTTGTTATAAGGAACAGGATCCCTGTCTAGCTAGCTTAGATAAAGGGGACCTACTGGGTGGCACAGGAGGACTATTTTATGTAGGTATGCCATGGGAGTTCAGCCTGGCCTGCAGGTAGCTGTTACTCCCTTTAGCTGATAGTATCTGTGGGCCTGATGGCCTCTTCTCTTTTGTTTTTTTCTGTGAATATACATCATCACTATCTTTC